GACTACCCTTGGAAGCAAAAGACAGACCAATTGTGTCAAGTAATCATGTAAACTCAAAGCCATCCATGTACTGAAGCAACTGGATGGGTGATCGGTGAATAGATTAATGCAAGAGAAGTGTCACCACACTGTTATCACTATTGTGCATTTATCAAATGAACCGCCCTTGTACACCAGCCACTGACCACACGTGTTACAGCCACCAGCTACCACTTAAACATGCCATACTTGCTCCAGCCACAAGCGATGTCTTCCATCCCCCCCCCAACTCGCATGCTACTAAATGTAGTTCATTGTGTGTGCATCTCATCTGCCATGTAAAATTCTTTGATAAGACAACACGTGTTGCCGTTGTTAAGTTTCTCTAGCACCACACCTGTGCAACCTTATGTCCAGCCACATGCAGTAGCCTTAAGAGAGGCTACTACAGTGTTATTCATGCCATGTTATGCTACGAATAAGCATGTGTTCAGCTGTCCAGGTCACCTCCAGAGCTGTCTGAGTACGTATTGATATCATAGTACTGGGTTAGACTAACAACAATATCTAATATTTGTTGTTAAGTCTAAGTCTTTCTGCAGGCCAATCAGGGTGATCAGCCAGAATTCCTCACCTACTCAACACCTGCAACAGGCAACAGGTTCGAGATAAAACAGACTTTGCAATGAACACCTGTTGATCTGTGTGGTATCACAGTGTTACACCTGTCATTAATGAACATATTTCACATAAGCCACACAGTTTTCCATCCGTGTTGACTGTCCCAGTGATGAGTCATTTGTACATTTATTATTGAGCAAGTTTATTGCCTGCACCATTACAAGTGCTATTGTTGATTGTGCAAAACTCTTGCATATCTATTTTCATACCAGCAGTGGAAGGAAAGTCATGTTAATGATTGGTTCTCTAGAAAATGGTCAGCCAACATTTGTTACTTAGTGGGACTAAATAAATCTGTCCTGCCTAAATCTGTCTAAAGTTCCATGTCTCTCTTATGCTATATTTGCCATGCATACACCAATCTCGAGCAAGTAAAATACCCAGTGTATTACAAAGTTTATTGAATAAATGCTACAGTTACATACGTGTTTATGTTAAACCACCCTAAGTACTGCTGTGTGCACTCATGCAGTGTAAATAGCTCTGGTAACACCACCATTAAAGCCTTTAAGTAACTAATAACTAAATTCTTGATGGGGACCCTTAGAGAAGTTCTTTAGATTGCTCATTGCATTAATGGGATTCTCACAACCTGGTGGATCATAAGACAAAAATGCCTGTCAGAGAGGAATATGTAACTGTAGTCATCGAAAGAAAACACACCACATGCCCCCCAAACTTAGTTTGGGTACTACTTGATCTATTATGAGGAACCTGAAATCGCTTGTCGAGTTCCTTGTACACTACTTTCATTTTCAGTGAACCTGTCTGTCCCTATTCTCAGTGTCATATGTTCCTTCACGATTCTGTTTGCAAAAGATTTTTCTAATGATAAAATCATTAGGAGCCATGAGGAGCATTTGAACCTATGCTCTGGCTGCTCCCAAGCAAATGCCTTAGACAACGACACCACGACTGTCAAAAGTATTGCCACCTGGGATTTGAATGAATCCTCTAAGAGTTCCCGAGGCTTAAACTGAAGTCTAACCAGCGTTTCAGACAATGATCTCCATGAGAAGGGGTCACTGAACAATGCCGTATCTAGATGATTCAGATGAATCCCAGATTGCAGTGCTTTCGACCATGTTGTGGTGTAGTGGTCTAAGGCATTTGCTTGGGAGTACCCAGAACATAGGATCAAATCCTCCTCATGGCTCCTACTTATTTTCTCATATTAGAAAATTCTCCTTTGCAAACAGTGGTAAATGGTTGGAACAAGTGAGAAGGCAATGACTACCTTTTAAAACCATTGGTAGTTTCAAAGCGTGATATGACTGGGAAGAATGGACACCACGAGTGTAGCTCTCATCCTGAAACAACAATTGCATATGTTCTTGCAAATACACATCTTGTTCTAGGAATTCCAGGTTTCAAGAATTCCTCAATTTCATTTCTGTTTATTACTTTTACCATTTTGCTTATGATCACATTGTCTCTTTCTTCATTCTTCGAGTATTGTATATTAAACACCATTCTTCATTCTTCGAGTATTGTATATTAAACACCATTCTTCATTCTTCGAGTATTGTATATTAAACACCATTCTTCATTCTTCGAGTATTGTATATTAAACACCATTCTTCATTCTTTGAGTATTGTATATTAAACACCATTAGCCTTTTCCTTGTAGCTCTTGTTTTTCAGTTCCAGAAGGCATTCAGTAGCATGTCCTTGCACCTCTTCCAGATTATTTGTGCACTTTTTCAGATACGATCATTGCACATTCCAATTTTGGTCTCACAAAACTTGTGAACAATTTCTATTGCACTATTCATGCACTGGATTTAAGAGATTCTGAAATTGGAAAATGAACACATTCTCCTCACACAACGTCCTTTATGTGGTCCTCTGGTGACAGTCTATTATCTAGAACTATCCCCAGTTCTCTCTTTGTCAAAGTTTTTTAATGTCTTTCCATATAATTAGTAAGTTTATGTGGCCTATTTTCTTCTATTGCACATTACATAACATGACATTTATTCACATTGAATTCTATTTGCAAAGTACTGCTCCATACACTTTTGTCCAGGTCATCTTCAAAGGCATTACAATTGTTTAAGTTTCTATTTTCCCTAGCAGATAATCATTAGCAAACATGTAACACTATTAACACTTTCGCGCTATCTGGACGCGCCGGCGCGTTCGGTTTCGTCTAACGTAAACGCATAGTGGACATAAAGTTATGTCAACTTTTAAAATATTTGTATCAAATTCAATTTTTATCCGATTTACTTTGGGTTTGTTTCAAACTGCGCGCTATGAGGCTCTCTTTCTCACCACTAGGCTGCATGGTACAATAAGTTCATGAAAGGTGTGGATAACTTCGATCAAATGGTATTTTGTCCCAAACGGGTTGCAGGTGGGTTACTTTAGCCGTTTATACTGGTAATTCTTCCCCCATATCATGTATTATATGCATATGTCTGTTTAGGGAATTTTATTCCGATCAATATACAACCAAAAATAACTGTGTGCAACAAGTATAATCTTGACAAACATAACAAAAGTAAAAATATTTCGTGTGTGTTTGACGCTCACTGATATGTTCCAGCGTTGTTTTATATTTGTCGTTATTCTAACTTACGCTTTGTTGATATTTTTTACCTATGGGCACATAGAACATTCTATTGCGAACACATTGACATAAAAATGAATGACGTACATAGAAAATTAATGTCATGAGAGTGAAATAAGTATAAACTTTCAAAGCGCCGTGCGTCGTCCCGTCACCGATACCGGGTAACAATTTCACCACTTCCCACACTCTTGCGGGCGGGCTGCATCATTATTCTACGCTTATATTCATATCACCGTGTTGGGAATTTCATTGCGAGTCCATTGATACCAAAATTAACGCTGTAGAACAAGTGTGGAGGTGATTACAATCCCAAGAGTAAAAACATTTTGTTGCTGATGGGCGCTCACGGCGAGTCATCTACGTAGTTATTTATTTGGTGCTGGTATCCCTATATGTTTCGTGACTTATTTTACTAATGTTCTTCTAGAGAATTTTATTGCGAACACGTTGGTACCAAAATGAAATACGTAGCATGAGAACTAAGGTCAGAAGAGTAAAAAGAGTGTACACATTTTTGTTTTTACGCTTAAGCGATAAAAACGCAGCGCGCACATTCGGTTGGCTGAGTGACCTTTGCGGAGAGCGCGAAAGTGTTAACACTTCTCCAGCTTGATGTGATAACCAAACCACACATCAGAAAGTAAAGGAACGGTGACTTTTTGGTCTGTCCTGGACCATTATCAATCAGTGTCAGTCTGGTTTGATGACCGACGACCATCATCCTGTTGGTCAATGTGATGACCGACATCATGTCTACACTTTCTAATGTGTGGTTTGGTCATCATATCTTCAGCCACATTATAATGACTTATTGTCTCCAGTGTGATACATTACGTCTGATTACTACCCTCATCTTTCTGGTAGTTAGAACACTTCTCATCTATGTCAGCAGTCACCTGTCATTTGAGCGAGTGTGATGGGATATACCTTGATACTGTACAGTATATTGCTTCAAAAATTAAACTGATCAAACCTGTACCCATTGTTGTGAGTTCTGACCTATTTTAACAGTTTCAGAACTGTTTATATCCCCTTATTTATGGCTTTAACCCACTTAAAACCCTTGATCATGTCCCCCCCAACAACCCGAGTGCCGGCAGGATATCATCCATAAGAACACAATTATAGAGGAAGCTGCATTAGACATACTGGCCTATGCAAAGCAGCTCCTATTTATATCAACCAAACTCGTTAAGCGATATGTCTAACCTTTGCGTGCCACAATCTTGCAATCTCGTATCATTATCCAATACTTTGCCCCAAGGATTCCTCTTTGTAAAAAAATATTTTTCAGATTCTAATTTGTAAAATATGTATCCACTGATTTGAAATGTAATGTAACATGTTATTAATATCCATTTTGTTACATCCTCAAGGATGACCTGAAGACTTGACAAAAATTCTACATTAAACAAAGCACATGCCACTGACCAACCATCTCTCTTCACATTATCTACAACACCATGCTCCACAAACTAACAATGCTACAATGTCCTTACGATGCGTTAAAAACCATGCTACCATGCATGTGTGAAGATCCATAAAACAATACTCTGCAACCATGCACTTATGTTACCAAACACTTATGATGCTACCATGCTCACATACACTCATGCTCCATAACATATGCTACCATTCTTATTAAGGAGAAAGATCACCGAAAATTGTCAAATTCAGAAAATATTAGTTAGAATGATTCAGTACCTATTATAATAAAAACAATAAATATTATTGAAAATAACCATCAGTCAGTATTTCTTACCTGTACAGCCAGTTGATCTCTATTGTATACAGCTTCGGAAAATTTCTCCTGGAGATCAGCATAATTTTCATTGATACCGCTCAGCTGAGCCCGAGTTTCGAATAAAATCTTATCCACAACTGCTTCGGCCATGTTTTCTCCCGAGGTATCTAAAATACATTATTAATACTAAGACTTGTTGATTGCATGATGCTGGTCAAGAAAGGTATCCTTCAATCGGTATATAGGAGGATAAAAGCAGGGTGATGAATGGTTAACTTTGATTACCACCTGCGCTTGCATCGCCTTAAGCTATTTTTTAACAATTGTTTTGATAACCTAATTTGTTATGCACACCACAATGTAAGACAGTTAGCCAAGCCACTTAAGAATTAACCCTTCAGCTGCCTATCCCATCACATGATGGGGCAAGTAGTTATGCCGACTGCACATCCCATCATGTGAAGTACTGTATACAGTATACAAGATTTTAAAACTCCCGTTGGTAAACGGGGCTCACACAAGGCATTCTCTGGTCTCTCGTAAATAGACTGCATTTTGAAAATATATTTTGAACACCATTCCCGAGTGTGAACGCTCAGTACTGACTGAGCAACCAAGGCTGGCACATGCAGCACGAGCTAACAGCACCGCAGTTCAGCTTGTGACCACAGCATCACTTAATGACAAAATATATAAGTGACTGCTATTATTTTCCAATGATGATATAGAACATCCTGACTGTAATGAAGACTATCACAGTGTTCAAATATCAATGAACACAATGCTGTTGATTATGATCACAGCATGACAGACAACCACAGCACACTGCCATAGTTTGGTGCAGCTACGCAGCAGCCCGTAGTAGCTGTCTAACTCCCAGGTACCTATTTACTGCTAGATGAACAGGTGCATCAGGGCGAAAAATGCTGCCCATTTGCTTCCGCCTCTGCCGGGGATTGAACCCGTAACCTTAGGACAACGAATCCCAAGTGCTGCCCACTCGGCCATCAGTCCCATTGTAACATTGCATTTGAAAAACCATGGTATAATCATAGAAATAATGAGAAAATATTACTGTTACAATTTCATGCAAAACATGCAGAGTTATGCTGAACTCTTCACCACATGTTAATTAAGACATTACCACACCTCTCAGAATTGCTTATTGGTTCCTAGTCATACATGAAAATGTACATACAGAAGTTATACACCGTATAAGGTGTATAAACTGTATAACACCACCAAATGTAGAATGTAATGAAGCGCCATTTTCTGTGGGGAGCCCGTTGCCTCCCTTAAGCTATCCAAACGGATATGTGCTATATTAGCACATATCAGTCATCATGATGTCATCAGTCACAGGAATCTTTATGCCTACTGGGGACCAGGAGTCAGAACATGGTCCCCCTCAGAGGCACAGGGAAAAATGGCCTATCAGCACTTTACATTTAAAGTACAGTGGGAGCCGGTCGGCCGAGCGGACAGCACACTGGACTTGTGATCCTGTGGTCCCAGGTTTGATCCCGGGCATCGGCGAGAAACAATGGGCAGAGTTTCTTTCACCCTATGCCCCTGTTACCTAGCAGTAAAATAGGTACCTGGGGGTTAGTCAGCTGTCACGGGCTACTTCCTGGGGGCGGAGGCCTGGTCGAGCAACCCGTTCTCACACTTTCTTACAGTCAATATCGACTTATTAAATACGTGCATATGTGACATACTAAACATACTAGTTTACCTTGAAAAGCTTCATAGAAAACACCGACCTTACCTAACCTTCTTAGTATGTTAAGATAAGTATCTTATTGCTTCTTAATACCAATGGTACCAATGAGCAGGAGGGCTAGTTGCATGAAGTGTTGCTGATCTTTTCGGATGTAGTTTGCACAGGTTAACACTTTCGTTCTCTGGGGACAGAGTTGATGTCCACAAATAATTCTGTGGATGTCTGGCAGGGATGAATGCGACATCCAAAATTAAAATGTTAAAATTCTATTTTTATCCGCTCATTATGGGACAAGTTTTAATGATCGCCTTTAGATTGCGAACAATTTGGTACCAGAATGAATGCTGTAGCATGAAAATTGAGGTGAGAAAACTAAACAGTACACACATTTTAGTGTTGGTGTGCAGATGGTGCTCGCTCACGGGTAATGCTCAAGCCGATTTCTGGGTTTGCTGCAGTTGGCACACCAAGCTTTTTGACCTTGTATGCATATATTCCTTTGGAGAATTCTATTGCGAACAATTTGATACCAAAATTAATGATGTAACTCGAAAATTGACGCGAGAAACCCGAAAAGAACACATTTTAGTGGGAGAGCGCTCACAGGAAATGCCAGGCCCACCTTGGGGTGGGCTGTGGCTCACTCACTAGGCAGCTCCAAGTGTTAACCAGACAGTGGTCTACTTTGATTCGCTTACCTTTCTAAATCCTTCCCTGGTTGATGGCAATTATTACATACTTTAAATGTAAAGTACTCATAGGCCATTGCTCCCTGCGCCTCTCTGAGGGGGCCCAGGTCCTGGCTCGTAGTCCCCGGTATGCATAGGGACTCTTGTGACTGATGACCCAAAACTAATATAGCATGTATCAGTTTGGATAGCTTCAGGAAGCCAATGGGGCTCCCCACAAAAACCGACTTACTTTGGCTATGGTGATGTTCGGAAGTCACAAGATTCATGAGCACTGATTCAGCATTTGCCTGGCAGCAGTTTGCCCAGTTGCCCCATGGGGTAAGAGTTGTGGCACAGATAGTTTTAGATATTTATTTCAAGGTCCAATTTGCTTTTTATCTGTTTTTTCAGTATTATTATTCAAAAGTGTCATTTAAGAAATTCTTATAATAAATTTTGTGTGTAATTAATATGTTGTATTGAGGACCCAGTCAATCCTCCCAGGCCAAAGCACTCACGAAGTGCTGGGCAAGTGTCTTACCACTGCGCCACGGACTGATAATTGAACCTTGCACATAGTTGCTATCACAGTCAAGATCTTCTTTAACACTTGCAATGAAAAATAATCACAGTTATTTACTTTGTCCACATTAACACTGTGCCTGGTCAATAACTCATAAGGAGTCCATATGTGAATACACTCAGTATGGGCGAGGCTGCACGCTACGTCCAAAATTAAAATATTTGTTAAAAATCCACTTTTTTCCTGATTATGGGATTAGTTTTAAAATGCACGCCTTTTGATTGCGAACAATTTGTTGCCAGAATGCACGACGTAGCACAAAAATTGAGGAGACAAAACTGGAAAGAGTATAAACATTCGAGTGTGAGTGGTGGGTGCGCGCTCATGGGTAAAGTTCAGCCTAACTTGGGGTGTGGCGCATGTGATGCTGGGCCATTTGATCTTATATGCATACAGTATATCCCTTTCTAGCATTCTACTGCGAACAAGTTGATAACAAAATGGACGTAGCACGGAAAGAAATTGAGGTTGGAACACTGAAAAGAGCATAAACATTTGAGTGGAGGTGCGCGCTCATGGGTAATACTCGGCTGATTTTCGGGTTTGCTGCAGGTGTAGAGCCGGGCTTTTTGACCTTGTATGCATATATCCCTTTAGGGAATTCTATTACAAATAATTTGATAGCAAAATGAATGATGTAGCACAAAAATTGAGGTGATAAAAAAAAAAAAAAAGAGTATACTGTACACATTTCAGTGCAGATGCATGCTGACAACAAACGCTTGGCCCACCTCGGGGTGTGCCGAGCGGCGTGCGCCGGGCCGGGCAAAGTGTTAACACTTTATTGCACTGCGCGAGCGAGACCTGCACTACCCTGGGTGGGCCTCAGCGTTTCAAGGGAGCGCGCGGTAATTCTGAAAAGTGTATACTCTTTTCTACTGTCACCTCAATTCTCGTCCAAGGTTCTTCAATTTGGTATCATTGTGTTCGTAAAAGAATTCTCTACAGGACTAAAGGCATATAAAGTTCAAAAGCCCAGCGTACCATCCACAACAAACAGAGAAAGTGAGTGCGTGTTACCCAGGAGCGTGCAAGAATGATAAAATGTGTACACTCTTTTCACTTTTGTCACCTCAATTCCCGTCCTAGGGCTTTCATTTTGGTATCATTGTGTTCGCAACAGAATTCCCAACAGGAGTATATGCATATAGAATAAAAAAACGCAGAGCGCTCCACCCACCGACAAGATGAAAGTTGCCCTGAAAGAGAGCACTGCGGCACCCCAAAGCACCTCTCATTACATTAGAGTGTGCGGTAATACTGAAAAGTGTATTCTCTTTACACTTTGTCATCTCATTTCTCGTTCTACGTTTTTCAATTTGGTATCAATGTGTTTGCAATAGAATTCTCTACAAGACTAAATGAATCTAAGGCCCAAAAGCCCAGCGAGAAAGTAAGAAAGTAAGAGCATATTACCCAGAACTGCGCAGGAGCAATAAAATGTGTACGCTCTCTTCACTTTGGACATCTCAATTCTCGTCCTAGGTCTTTCATTTTGGTAACATTGTGTTGCAATAGAATTCTCTACAGGAGTATATGCAAATATAAAGTCCAAAAGCCAGGCGTACCATCCACAGCAAACAGAGAAAGTGACGTAGCGTAATCCCAGTGAACGCTAATAAAATGGGTATACTGTTTTCAACTTTGTTACCAGAATTCTGGTCCTAGGTCTTTCATTTTGATATCAATGTATTCGCAATGAAATTCCCTACAACAGTATATGCATATAATATCCAAAACCGCGGCGCGCCCCTCCCGAAGCCGCCGCAATGCTGCGCCGTTACCGGGAATGCACCTACTAAAAAAAAAGACGCAATGCTGAGCCAAAAGTGTTATAAGTGATGCGGTTACCGAGCGAAAGTGTTATAAGTGATGTGGTGGGCACTAGCTGCAGGGCTGAGCTGTAAACTGCTGGAGCATGTGCTGCCAGTGGTCACCCTCTCAATAACAAGGCCCCTCACACCCAGAAGGGCTACCCAATATTTTTTTTTATAAGGTGTTGTCTGTTTACTGGAGGCCTGAAGAAGCAAATGTGAGCCACATGTACATGCGGGGCTTTTAAATCATGTACAGTACTCTATTTGACCAGTACAATGGGGTCAGATATGCCTGATTGTCCCTGTTTAACAAGCACAGTAAAGAGCTAGTATCTGATTAGAAGAAAGTGTTAGTGATGCAACAGTACCAAAAAATTTGTGGCTAACATAGATGAATCTATAAATAATTAACCACTCAGGGGAAAGAGAGAAATGCCACCACATATTAAAGTGTTCAGCGGCTGGAATGTAGGAGATAATGGTAATTAGTCAAATATCTTTAGTCACATCTGCTGGAAATATCCATTATGAGTCAGGTTAAACTTTGAATTTCACACTGTAATGTTCATCAATAAAGCATGGGAAACAGGCGATATGAACGATATATCCTTTAACCTTTAAATCGTAGTTATTGTCATACTTTAGGGTAATGTAGTGTGCATTTACTCTTCAATATAATTAAAAAATATTACTGCTACATGCTACAATACGAATGATGAACAAAATGGATAACAATTTACCATTATCATTAAAATATTAACAAATTATCATTAATATATAACCCTTACAAAACTCGAGCAAGTTCAATGGCAAACAATTCACATGTGAAATGTTTCAATTTAACATTCTGTTATTCTGAAAGTTGACTAAACTATAAATTGCCATCCACACTTCCCTGGAAGTAAACATTCCATCCACCTTGACTGTACGGGTCTGGAACACTGGACCCCACTCAGTCGATAGTGCTACGGCCTCATGCACGTGGGGTCCACGGTTCCACACACACAAAGCCCAGGTGAATGAATTGACAAAATTGTTTTAAAATATAATATAGTCAGAAAACAAAATGGGAACAAATAGAATGTAGTGTTACAATTAGGTAAGCATGAGAGGTTTATTGCAGAATACTGCAGGTAAGATAATCAAGACCATTAGAATTAAGGAATACAAACATACTTGATTGTGAAGGCGAGGAAGGTGCACTGGTGAAAGTCATGGGAGAAGTGGCTTCGAATGACTCCTCTACTGGACGGTTAGTTGGTTTTTCGGAAAAAATGTGTTGTAGTTCCTCCAACTGAGCCTGAGGAAAATAACCTTTTGCTTAAAAAGATAAATAAAAATTCTACAACCATAGTAGCAAATTTATGAACATTTAAAAATGAAATTTAATTAATTAATGTTCTTATACAAGACAAATCATAAAATTGAATATTATCAGACATGGGTGTATGGAGCTGAGGTGGAGGCTCATAGTAAAAGTGCACTTGCAGGGGGGGGGGAGGGGGAACCTCGTCCCTTTTGGCATTAACAGGATTTGTACTGTTTAACAGTATTATGGGTGAGGGTATGAGAGTAAGCATCAGAAAAAGCTAACGTTCCTGGTAGCTCTCTCAAGTTATGTGGCTGATATAGCTTCTCATTACTTAGCCACAGCAGCCAGAATAGTTTTATTTGCCTACTGCAGACCAGAATCTAGCATCCCCTTCAAATAGGAACAGGGAGCCAGGAAATGTTATGATCACCCTTGCCAAGAAAGACCCAGAAGAGACTAGAAACTAAACTATCAAACAATGGCTTAGTTTATGAAAAAGCACCAAAGCAGTCAATAGACAGCAAAATCACTTGAAACAAAAATGCTCAGATGAATTTGGATACAAAACAACTACCCCTAATGAACATGCGCTAAGCCGGCACCCCTTGCTGTATGGGGTGCTGGCTTAGCGCATGTAAATGTGGTGACCAGGTACCAGATTCACAAAGCAGTTACGCAAGTACTTACGAACGTGTACATCTTTCCTCAATCTTTGACGGCTTTGGTTACATTTATTAAACACTTTACAAGCATGAAAACTTCCCAATCAACTATTATTATAAACAGTCTCCTGGTGCTTCAGAGCCCATTAACTGTTTAATAATTGTAAACAAAGCCATCAAAGATTGAGGAAAGATGTACACGTTTGTAAGTACACGCGTAACTGCTTCGTGAATCTGGCCCCAGGTTTTGTCCTTTACTTCCTGGTGGGTTTACAATGACTCAAGGGCCTGTTATCATTCAAATTGGGTGGAACTATCGAGGCTGAAAAAAAGTTACTAGAAAACCATCGTAGGAGACCTCCCAGAAATACAACCCATCCTCAGACTAAGTCCATTCCATTCAGCAGTCGACCCCAAGGACCCATTCATAAATTGTAACATTCTGTTCATTCAAAACAGGAATTCTCAAATATAAATTATTATTATCATATATATTAGCATATTGTGCATATTTAGTCATTGGTTAGGTTAGGTGTTTAGGTTCTGTTGGCGATTATTTGTATTTGTAGTACGCGGGGGAAACATTTACAGCGTTGTGGTTCGAACAAAAAATGCCATCAAAGTACTTGATCGAGAAGTGTTCAAACGTCATCAGTCGATTCGTGTATGTAAACTGTTTTTCATTTATAAACGGAGTTTGGCAGGTGCATGAAATGGACTTTGGCCTTTGTTTATGAGGATGGGCTGCAGAAATAATCAATGAACTGAAACAAAATTAAAATAATTATATAATAAATTGATCAACAGATAACCCCTGTAAGTAGGAGATGTGGCTAATTTATACTTTGGATATTTATGTTTTATCAATGATGGGTCTTAACCATTTAACACACTAACCTTCACATCCTTCAAATGAAAGGCCTGAGACTCTATGATAGCTTCATTTTCCATCTTGGCTCTGTGCAAGGTTGACATCTCTTCCTGCAGTCTGTCTCGTTCTGCAGAAACAAGAGTCAACCTTTTTCTTAAGTTCTCATTCTGAAAAACAAAAGTTATAATTTAATATTCTCTACTCATGTAGTATCTGGAAGCATAGCATGTTAAATTTACTTACTTGTTCCTATATTCCTTCTTACATACTTGTGGTAATGGATTGAGGGATGAGTCACCATGTGGAGGTCGCCCAGGCCAGGCATGAGACAGTAGTTGCCGAGAATATATTTATGATGATTTATTTAAATGTCGCAGACTTTTTTTTTCACCTTTTTTTTGTGCAGTTTTATTATGCAATAGTGCATAATGAGAAATTTTGATAAATGTGCAGAATATCAACACACACACACAGTCACTAATATGAGCACAATACAGTATTGTATTATGTTCTTTGGACAGTAACACTTTGCCGTTACCACACTGTATATAGTATTGAACCAATTTTTCACGTAATAACAAGCATTCCTTCTACTACAAACGGGTTTTATTCTGAAAATGGCTGTGTATAGCACTTGTTTGGCATGTGGAACTTTATTTCCCACACGCACAATGGAGATGCGTTTGTAAATGGAGATGCGTTCCCAAACCACCAATAATCCTCAAAAAGCCAGTGTTGAATGTAATGAAACCCCAATTTCTGGGTGAGCTCTGGTGGCTCCAAGAAACTATTACTCTGATTCAGTGCCAGACTACAAGGTGCCATCAATCTCACTTCTTATTGACGTACCTGGCACCACCAGCAAGAACCTGGATTCCTCAAAGGCGCAGGGAGCAGTGGCACTATAAAAACCTTTTAAGTAAGGTTACCCATGTCTGCCACAGCCAAGGGAAGGCACCTAGGAAAGTCAGGGAAACAAAATTGACTACTGCTTGGTTAGAAATGAGACCATAGCCTCAAAACTGCAAAACGAACTCCAATAAGCTAAATATGCAATAGAAAATTTGTGAAACAAGCAAGTGCTGGAACACAACACCTGGTCCCTCGTTTTGGGAGACGAGGGACGCAGACCAGGTCAGCCGACTGCTCCACCACCAGTTATGATGGAAACCACCCCGATGCCCCTGGGGAAAGGAGGGTGTCAGGGAGCCACCAGGGCTCTCCCAGAAATTGATATATCATTATATTCAACACTGGTTTCCCGTGGGGAAGACCCTTGTGGCTCCCTGAAACTATATACCCACAGAGAAGGAAGAAAGAGTAAACACCAGAGGAGGAGGAAGCACCACAGGTATCGTGACAAGAGACCAGCTACCGTGAACACGACCCAGAGCCACATCAGACCAGAAATGTCCACAAGACACCTAGCTGCAGGAAGACGTTGCGACCACCAAAACCTGTACCCGAAGAATGGCCCAAAACATGAGCAAAGAGTGCCGAAAGATCAGCCTATGGAAGCACATCAAGGGCACGAGGGTAGATTGCAGCCTCACTAAAGCAAGAGACACTGTGGACAACTTGAAACAGAACATAAGAAAGGTAACTGCAGAAGGCCTATTGGCCCATACGAGGCAGCTCCTATTTATAACCACCCAATCCCACTCACATACATGTCCACCCCTCGCTTGAAACAATTGAGGGACCCCACCTCCACGTTACGCGGTAATTGGTTCCATAAATCAACAACCGTTATCGAACCAGTATTTACTCAAGTCTTTTCTAAATCTAAACTTATCCAATTTATATCCATTGTTTCGTGTTCTGTCTTGTGTTGATACTTTTAATACCCTATTAATACCCCCTTTGTTATATCCATTCATCCACTTGTAAACCTCCATCATGTCACCCCTAACTCTTCACCTTTCCAGTGAATGCAATTTAAGCTTTGTTAATCTTTCTTCATATGAAAGATTTCTAATTTTGGGAATTAACTTAGACATCCTACGCTGGACACGTTCAAGTGAATTTATATCCATTCTATAGTACGGGGACCAAAACTGAACTGCATAATCTAAATGGGGCCTAACCAGATCAAGATATAACTGAAGAGCAACACCAGGTGTCTTGTTACTAACGCTTCAATTAATAAATCCCAGTGTCCTATTTACCTTATTTTGAACATTTTTGACTTCGCAATCTCAACACCATCTAGCTCGTATCTTTTAACTTTATCATTACCTAGCCTCAGAACTTTACATTTATCAGCATTAAACTGCATCTGCCAATCTTTTGACCATTTCAAAACCCTATTTAGATCAACTTGAAGTGATAGCGAGTCTTCTTCCGTGTTAATTTCTCTACCGATTTTTGTATCATCGGCAAATTTGCAAATGTTGCTACTCAAACCTGAATCTAAATCATTTATATATATTATAAACAACAGAGGTCCCAATACAGAGCCTTGAGGCACTCCACTTACATTTTCCCACTCTGACTTAACCCCATTTATACCAACTGTTTCCTTTGGTATAGCCATGTCCTAATCCAACTTAATATAGCACCCCCAATACCATGAGCCTCTATCTTTTTAATCAGTCTTTCATGTGGCACTGTATCAAAAGCTTTGCTAAAGTCAAGGTACACAACATCGCAATCCTTACCACTATCAACTGCCTCAACTATGCTGGAATAAAAAGATAACAAAATTGTTACATTTTAGAACTGTTGGCACGAAGGCAGTGACACAAAACTGGCACCTTACACTTGATCCCCCCCCCCCTGGGTCAGACACCAAACAAGCAGCACTAGAAACCAAGGCCAGGCCAATCAACAAAGAGCCAGAAAGATCATCTCCCTGAAGGACTTCAACAGCGCAAAAACCAGGAGCAACAGTCAGACCAGGGAAAAGAGGCAATACACCCCCACTAACACTAGTCTCAATGTAACAACAGAACTGTTCAGGGTTAGATATTTAATAAACTGGCTTGTATAGAGCCGCGTGTGTGCATGCCAGCACAACTAGTAATTACAATTGTGAGCTTTTGACCTGGTAAGATAGGAAGGGTTATCCCCCCAAGATCCAAGGGCTTAGTGGTAGAGGTTAAACAAAATGGCCAGCATCCCCATTGTTTTTAAATTCATCAATTTATAGGAATTCAGTTATTAAAATAATTGAATTAAAAACGTCTTTTGACAAGTAACTATGTAAAATTAATTTAATGACAATTTAAAGTAAAGCGTAGACTTGTTGTCAAGTACAGACGAATCTTAGGATGAGAACATCCACAAGGTGGAAAATATGTACCGATCATCTTAAATTGTTAATTTATGTAAATTATGTTAATATTCAATAGTGGGTTTACTAATCAATCCTGCGCAAGTATCTAGGTAATTTTCCAATTGTTTTGAATAATGATTAGGTCACCATCACCAGTACATGATTAAGTTATATTAACACTTTTGCGCCCCTGGGATGGTAAAAAAAAAAAGCGGTATGTGCGCGCGGCGTTTTTGCCACGTAAGCGTAAAAACAAAAATGTGTATACTCTTTTTACTCTCCTGACCTTAGTTCTCTAGCTACGTATTTCATTTTGGTACCAACGTGTTCGCAATAAAATTCTCTAGAAGAACATCTGTAAAAAAAGTCACGAAACGTATAGGGATACCAGCACCAAATAAATAACTACGAAGATGACTCGCCATGAGCGCTCAACAGCAACAAAATGTTTTTACTCTTGGGATTGTTATCACCTCCACACTTGTCCTACAGCGTTAATTTTGGTATCAATGGACTCGCAATGAAATTCCCAACACGGTGATATGAATATAAACGTAGAATAATGATTGCGGCCCACCCGCAAGAGTGTGGAAAGTGGTGAAATTGTTACCCGGTATCGGTGACGGGACGGGACGACACATGTGCGATACGGCGCTTTGAAAGTTTATACTTATTTCACTCTCCTGACATTATTATTCTATGTACGTCATTCATTTTTGTGTCAATGTGTTCGCAATAGAATGTTCTATGAGCCCGTAGGTAAAAAAGATCAATAAAGCGTAAGATAGAATAGCGCCAAATATAAAACAACGCTGGAACATATCAGTGAGCGTCAAACACACACGAAATGTTTTTACTTTTGTTATGTTTGTCAAGTTTATACTTGTTGCACACAGTTATTTTTGGTTGTACATTGATTGGAATAAAATTCCCTAAACAGACATATGCATATAATACATGATATGGGGGAAGCATTACCAGTATAAACGGCTAAAGTCACCCATCTGCAACCCGTTTGGGACACTCATGCAGACACACGCTACACCCAAAAAAAAAAATCTATGAAGGTTCGAGTCTACTTATGGCAGTTTATGTGATACAGTGTTCATTCTGGTATCAAAATACTCGTTTCAGTTTGTAGTTCATGCGATTTTCAGAATCAACTGAATCGCTGGAGGTTCAACATTTGAGTCAGAGTCATCTGATAAAACCGTCTCGTCAAATGGCAGTGTGCCAGACATCTCGGGTTCTGATTCGGTTGCTGCTTCAGCTTGAGGTGTTGAAGTGAACAAGGGCCGCCTCACACCAGATGGTCCAGGAGTTTGCATGGCGTCAGCATAGGCAGGACCTGTGTCATCATTTATGTCTGGAGCGTGCCGCAAGTGTTGAGATACTGTTGCTGTTTGAGGCAAATCTTCCGGGTCCCAGCACAATAGGGCCCAATTTGCCACCTCGTGGAACTGTAGCAATGTTAGCTTTTTTTGATCAGTTGTGTTGTATTTGTACAAAACAAAGGCATTATGCAAAGCCATTTGCAGGAAACAAAACGTTATCTTTTAGGTCCACTTGAGTTTTCCGGGTAAAATGGTAATACCATTTGATCGAAGTGGTCCACACCTTTCATGAACTTATTGTACCATGCAGCCTAGTGGTGAGAAAGAGAGCCTCATGGCGCGCAGTTTGAAACAAACCCAAAGTAAATCGGATTAAAATAGAATTTTATACAAATATTTTAAGAGGACAAATTTATGTCCACCATGCGGAAGCAGCGAGGCGAAACAGGACTCCGGGCGGAGTCCTCATCAGCAGAAAGTGTTAATCATCTTTGAATAGTAATTTGGTTGGCAACTAAGCCAAGGTCAGCCTCTCAGCTGGAGAGAGCAGTTTTAG